TTTTCAATGCGAAATAATGGATAAAGGGGAATTTTAACTGCATCACAATGTCTTAAGCGAATAGAAAATTTATTATATGCTCTTATTAAGCCCTTGTAAAATCTCGAAAACCATTTTAACCGTTATCTTACATTGAAAAGTTGTACGGCTTTGAGACATTACGACGTAATACGCATGCATGTACTATATATATAGGGTGCCCTAGACCACCCGTCTACCCCATCTAAAATGGAGGTAAATGTTTTTTATGGAAAAACGCAAAGATACCTACCAAATCGGGGATGCTCTATTATTTGGTGGTATTACTGACTTTCAATTTAGAGGGAGTGGACGGCTTTTCATACTAATACAAATGTTCCTCATCAAAAATAGTAATCGGAATCTAGTTTTGGTCTTCCAAGTAGTTTTTCTCTGGGAAAGTAGAAAGAAGTATGGCGCTTTTGCGGCGGAAAATGAACTGGCTATATCTATACGCCCATTCTTCTCGGTTTTCTTCTTTACGATTGTTCTTCATCAATTTTCTCGTCGAGAAAGTAAAGTTAATAAAGTTTATTGAATATTTAAATTTCGTCCGAAACTTTATAATAATAAAGTTAAAATGTCAGAGCTTAATTCGATGACTTTCTGGCCACCTTCTGTGGCATGTCCTTCCATTTGGTTAAAACAGCATTTCATTTCTAAAGATAAAATTTTGTTATCGAACTTAGCGCTGCACGGATTCATAAGATTCGAGTTATCTTAAACACTTCCATTCAAGGAGCGTTGTGCGGGTGTATCCACCCGAAGTGGTTAAATTGATGATGTACAGGTCTTACGATGTCTGTTATTGATCCAGTCTTTTAGAAGACTATTTTGAAGGTTCTGCCATTGATCAAATGGATTGACATTAAGTCACGTTGGAATTGATTCACCCTCTGATAGCGAAGACAGACCATTTCGAGAAAGCAATTAAAGTTGAAAATGATTTTAATTTTTTTGGATTTTGTATGGAAATGGGCAGGAAATAAATAATTGCTGGCGGTTAAAATCACAAACTGAAAGTGTGCTGATTTCCATCGAAAATATTAATAGCCATCCAAACCTTCAGAAAAACACTTTAGAAAAAGACTTTGTTGCTTTTAATAGCAACAATACGCGTAAGCATTTCTTAATTCATTTACATATGGGGTATTTCCATACGTCGCATACGTGACAGTCGTAGGTTTCAATGAGATACAAACAAGGAAAAACATTAGTTTTCTTTCATTAATTAGGTAAAAAGGTAGAAAACAAGCGTAGGATTTTCTAATGAAAGCTGTTATAATCGTTCAAGTTGTATTCAAACACGTGCAGCGTGCAATTCAATATTTTCTAGAATCTTTTTCTTGCGAGATTTCTTAATAAGATGAGTGATTTTTTTTTTCCATTTTCTCACTTCCCCAACGCAATTGAATACCCTTCAACTGGAATAAACTTTTAATGTATGCCTCTGCATCCTATTCGCAACATAAAAAAATGAAAGTTAAAACATCAAAACTTTTGCGCTCATTAAAACAGTTTAATACCATAAAACTTCAGTTTTTTCTTCGCGCCAATTTACATACATACATACATATGTAAATTTGTAAAAATAATTTACCAACGAGCAATACAACTGCCTCTATAAACCCCACAACCACCACTAATAAAAGTCTCATTAAAAATTCATAAATACATACAGGTGCTGCGGTGCAGAGCGCCACCCGAGCGCCGGCCTTCAACAAGGACAAGTACTTCACGTTGCTCGTACTCGACGACCAAAACACCGACTGGTCGAAGTATTTCCGTGGCAAGCGCCTGCATGGCGACTTCGACATACGCGTAGAGCAGGCAGAATTCCGGGTGAGTAGACACAGGAGTTATGTAGTAGTAAATAGGGATAAACTAAGTAAAATATTTAGTTTTGCCTAGCATGCTTGCCATCACCATTACCGAAACATTGTTTACTCATGCTGTTACTTTTTATTTTACATTTTGTTTTTACTTTGTTGGCACCTTCACATTTGACCTTTTGCATTAAAAATTTAAAAACAATTTGTACTCGGCACAAATCGTGCACTCGCGTTTGCCGTTTCTGCTATGAAGCCTAGACTAGTTACTTACTTTTTATCGACACATTAGTTTTTAATTGGTTTATTTAATATTTTTATGCATTAAATTTTTACAGGATATTTCGCTCACTGCCAGCGCTGAAACTGGACCCATCATTTCCATGGCTGTCTACCGTGGCGGTACCAGGGTGAGTAACTCTACTACAGCTACATTGATTTAGTTGGCAATGCCGCATCAGGCCATTTATCAGCACAAACAATGTATCGGATGCATATGTACATACGTACATATGTGTCAGTGTGTGTTTGTTATATGCATGTTCTCATTTTAATTGCTCCCTGTTGACCAAGTTATGTCAATGTTGGCACTTTATATGTACACAATACATATACTCAGACATATGAATACAGCCCTACGTCAGCCCGTCTAGCCTGAGCCTTTGTGAACTTGGATTGCTCTTTGGCTTTGGATTTTACTTTTTGTTATACTCGTCGCTGCAGCGTAGACACTCAAGCGCATTTATTTGCATACATATACTAAATAGGTACTTGTGTGCAAACGAGCGTATAACCATGTGGGAAACATGTATAGGCGAGAAAGTTATAGTAATTTACATACACTGGACTAATTATTTTTTAGATTTATTTTCCAAGCTCGAAGTGAATACGGAATTTTTTTTTAAGTCTTAAAATTCGCTTGAATTAAATATAGCCTATTCAATTTAGGATAAGAGTAGGTGTGTGTGTGAGTCACAAGAATTGTTCAAATGCCTTTTTTGAAATAAACTGAAATAGTGAATGTATGTCTGATTTTCGAAAGGGCTCCAAGTCGATTGAACTTACATAGATTTCTCTATGGTATGCATTTGTTAGATTGTCGCACTTTAAATTTCTGCAATGGCTGGATTAAAATTTCACGGATAAATGTTGTGTGGTAGGTAAGGTTAGATTAGGTAAGGCAGCGGCCCCATGTAACCGGAGCTCACTTAAACAATATGAGATTGTCCTTTGTGATACCAAAATTGTGAACGGTACCCTAAACTTTATCGATAAAACGCTCCGAGGCGATTATGTATTTACGATTTCGCAAATCTGTATTTAGAAAGGGAGATCCAAAGTACTTCAACCTTAGCCTCACAAACGCTGGGCTCTTAAGAAGGTAGTGTTGAGGTGATTCCACCTCGTCCTCTTCCAGGCAACTGCGACATAAGGGGTCCGGTAGAATATTCAGCCTTACTGCGTGAATACCGATAGGACAGTGAACCGTTAAAACCCCCACCAGAAGTGAGAACGGTGGTTTTGTGAGTGTGAGGAGTGCCCTCGACCGTCCCCGGTCCACCCTCGGCCAAAAGGACCTTGCGATCACGCATGCCGCGGTATTCGTCCAGCGCTTGCTGAGCTAACATGAGGCCCATCTATCCAAGAGTGTACCACAAGCGATTAATGGCGCCCCTGGCCAGTTCGTGTGCCACACAGTTCCCCTCAATATCGCTGTGACCCGGAACCCAAATAAGCCTAATGCAAAAGTATTGCGACGCGACCGGAAGAGAGAGCAGACATTCCTCCAACGAACTCAAGGCCCTGATAGCCAAGCGGATATACGCTCACTTCCCTAGCGGTTATAACGCTCCTTAGCAGTAAGTCCACCGCTTCCGTAATAGCAGCTACATCCGCCTGGAATACACTGCAGAAGTCCGACAGCCTAAACTTAGTACTGATGGTAAGCTCTCGACAAAAGACCCCACCACCAACCCTGCCTTCCAGTTTTGATCCATACGTAAAGAAGTTCACCGTACCCCTCCTCCAGAAGTTCCGCCCGGCCAACTCCTCCCTTGAGGGAAAGTGGACAGAGAAAAAGTGGAAGTGAAGAGAGAAGAGGAACCGTATCGGTAGCGCAGTAATCCGTACGATCATTGATGAAATCGAGTCCCCCTAGAACATCAGAGTGCCCAGTCCCTAAGTTGGTCATCCAATCATTTTCCCTGAGTCTAATAGCCGTTCGCGCGGCAATTCTGCCTGCAACGTCGACGGGCACTACGTTCAGCATTACGTTCACTGATAATGTGAGAGCGGTTCGCAGTGCCCCACTAATACTAATTAATGCAGCCCGTAGTACACGTTCCAGCTGCCTAGCTAATGTAGGCGTGAGTTCCACCAGACTAGGGTGTCATAAAAAATAAATAAAATAATAAAAATTGCTTGACTACGGTCTCTTAGAGTCAATAGACAACTTTAGGCGAGATACCCCATCTCTTGCCAATGGCGGGTCTACTTCAATATAAGGCTCCACGACAACTTCCGGTCTAGGATAAAACCCAAGTACTTGACCCTTTCAGACAGCTGTAAACCCAGACCTTCAACTGAGAGAAGAATAGCGGCGGAGATTTTGTATTTTCTTGTGAATAAGACCAGTAATGTCTTACTGGGGTTGACGGCGATGCCATTTTTGGCCGCCCAGTTAGTAACTATGTTAAGGTACTGTTCCGTCAGTTCATACAGCGGACCTGGTATTTACCTCGTCGATGACTTCGGCCTTTAGTCTGTATTTGCATGCGGTTAGAGGTAATGCCCGAATTTTGAGCAGAATTGACTTCAGATATTCATTTCCGACCCTCTCCTTTCCGACTCGTTGGCTATGCAGTTTTCAGAAATGTCCCTGTGTCCACTCGTTCCTTCATGGCTCTAATGAAACTTTCTGACCTTTTTTGGTAATTATATCTTAAGTTAGATTAGGTTGAAGTGCCTGATGGTGGGCACACTAGCACACTTAGGCTCTTAATCGGGTTCATTGTGGTACCACAAAGGTTCTCATTTAACCCTGCCTTCCTCCTATACAAACTTGTATGAGAAATTGAATTTTTTGTATCCAGATGTATCCACCTTTCACTTGCTTCTGAGAAGGAAATTTCTTGTAAATTGTGATTGCATATGAATGGTATGCCCAATCTCTCCCAAGACGGCGAAAATGAGAGGGAAGTGCCATGAGCCTCATAATTTCTCAGATTCACTGATTGTGCGTTCAATGTTGACCCCGGTTGATGTCTTTAATCGTGGAACCTTGTACATTCTGGTAAATAGTACAAGCTCACTTTTGTTTGGGTTAACTCCTAGGCCTAAGTTTTTGTTGGTCCACTTTTTCAGCCTCCTTAGGTTTGTCTGCATAACATCGGATAGTGTTTTCTCGGAATTTTGCATTTACGACTATTGCAAGGTCGTCATCGATCGCAATTACAGTTCTCTTTTATAAGCTGTTTAACACTGGGTGTGTCACATTGAACCCTTTAAAGTAATTTTGGGTAAGCGTACTATAAATCTGAAGACAGGTTTCGAAAACAATGTTTATGAATATTTGTAAACAAGGATTTTATTTCCATGGAACTATAAAATTAATCCATAAAAAAATATATATACAGAAAGGACCGATGGTCCAAACTGCGGTTAGTTACCGAGTGGCACTAGGCACCTCTAAAACCTCAGCTACAGCTACCCCCATTTTCAATCAAATTGCAGATTTCAGATGATTCCTTTTTCTGGCAGGGCTGGAGCGTGCAAGCAGGATATCCATTGCATGGAATGCATGCACACGTACACACGCGCGCAGTTGTTAGTACCAGTCTAATCAACAATTATGCGTTTATGTAAGTGCGTCCACTTTCGGTATGAAGGTCGCCGGCGCTAATGAATTACTTAGAAATTTATGCGTGCCTAATGTGTGCTTACCGTGCAAAGAGCTTCAGTTGAATGCGTCTGCATTGGTACAAGTGCTTTGTACCATAAAACGATTTGAGCTTGAAGCAGCACACATGGGATTGGGTTAAGTGGATGTAAGGAAATCTTAAAATTTTTATTTACATACGTATATTGCCTAAGCGGTAACCTCAGTAACATTTAGATATCTTCATGTCTCTCACATATCTATTTTTTCATTTGTTGGAAATTATATGCTTGAAATTCTTGATTCGCCTAATTCTACAAGCTAAACCTTACTGGGTCTCTAAAGTAGCGTAATTGGCTTTTGTTTTGGAAGTACCGTTTTTAACCCTTAGACTATGTCTGTCAGACGCTTGGGAAAAGTTAAGCCTACACTTTTTGGTGTCCTTTACACATTTTGGAAAACTGTTAAATGTTTTTCTGTGTCAATATATCTTGTAAGTACATATGTACGTATAACAAATATTTGGGTTGTTCAAAGTTTTGAATTTCAGACCATACCAAAAATGCTTGAGATGAAAAGTTCTTCTATCTAGCCATAATGATAGCCATAAATAAACTGCAGCTACTTGTGAAAAGAAACCAATTGGTAAGGCAGAAGTGAAAACTCACATTGCCTTTGTGCCAATTGGTATTGGCTCAGATNTTCCTTTTTCTGGCAGGGCTGGAGCGTGCAAGCAGGATATCCATTGCATGGAATGCATGCACACGTACACACGCGCGCAGTTGTTAGTACCAGTCTAATCAACAATTATGCGTTTATGTAAGTGCGTCCACTTTCGGTATGAAGGTCGCCGGCGCTAATGAATTACTTAGAAATTTATGCGTGCCTAATGTGTGCTTAGCGTGCAAAGAGCTTCAGTTGAATGCGTCTGCATTGGTACAAGTGCTTTGTACCATAAAACCATTTGAGCTTGAAGCAGCACACATGGGATTGGGTTAAGTGGATGTAAGGAAATCTTAAAATTTTTATTTACATACGTATATTGCCTAAGCGGTAACCTCAGTAACATTTAGATATCTTCATGTCTCTCACATATCTATTTTTTCATTTGTTGGAAATTATATGCTTGAAATTCTTGATTCGCCTAATTCTACAAGCTAAACCTTACTGGGTCTCTAAAGTAGCGTAATTGGCTTTTGTTTTGGAAGTACCGTTTTTAACCCTTAGACTATGTCTGTCAGACGCTTGGGAAAAGTTAAGCCTACACTTTTTGGTGTCCTTTACACATTTTGGAAAACTGTTAAATGTTTTTCTGTGTCAATATATCTTGTAAGTACATATGTACGTATAACAAATATTTGGGTTGTTCAAAGTTTTGAATTTCAGACCATACCAAAAATGCTTGAGATGAAAAGTTCTTCTATCTAGCCATAATGATAGCCATAAATAAACTGCAGCTACTTGTGAAAAGAAACCAATTGGTAAGGCAGAAGTGAAAACTCACATTGCCTTTGTGCCAATTGGTATTGGCTCAGATGCTTTATTCAATTACACAGGGCAATGCCGATTTTGATGCTGGAAATGTTAAGGCAGTTTTTGATATACCTTTTTGTTCTGATTACGATCCCGTAAATATCCATCATTTCCAGATTTTGAGTAAAACGATGTCAAAGTGCCAAGAAATCGCGTTTTCGGCAATATTTGAGAAGTTCTAGCAAATAAGCAAAAAGTGATGGAACCTTCTACTAAGGCTTAAATTAAAGTTAGAACTCTTGATCGTCTCTGCACCTTGACTTGATGGTCAAAAAAACACTGGGAAATTGTGCTATTGAAAAAAATTGTGTCAAAATCAGTTTTGGCTGTTCAAAAAATTGCTATAAGTGACCTTTGGGGTCAAGGTGCAGGAATGGTATTTTCAGGGATCGTAGTCGAAAGTTCATTAACCTAAGTGGAAGGTTGTATCACCTTTTGTTTCTTTGCCAGTGCTTTTCAAATATGTGAAAGACGCGATGGAAACCTCATACTTACAGATTCGCAATCAGTACAAAAAAAAGCTATCAAAAATGGCTTTAACATTTTCCGCATAAGTAGTTTCCCCTTTTGTAGGCCTGTGTTATTGAATATTCAGTATACCAGTTCTCTCATGCCAGGAGGTAATATTAGGCTTACTAACTTAACAGCATAGATTGATCGTAAAGGAGCGCATTACTGTCTCACATACACCAGACAAGGCCGAGAAATATCACGATCTCTGAATTTGTGAACCATTTATTAGCGGAAGCTGGAAAAATGGTACAATAGCACAGTGTGGCGACAAGAGAAAACTAGTTGGGCAAAATTATTTTATTAGTGTTTTAGATAAATAAGATCGTAACTAAAAAAAATGCTCTAGGGCCAGGGTCGGAAATACCCCGTTGACCCAAAGAAAAATATTTTTTTTTTTGATACATTTCCAAACTATTTATGAGAGAATCTTTCTAGCATTATGTAGCCGAAGATTTTGTGCAAGGTTGCAGGCATAGAAAAACAAAATTGTATTGTTTTAAACAATCATCTTTTATTTTATTATTTTTTTCTTGCAACCCTTCATAGCCAGCAAGCTAGCAACTGGCAGATTATTGCTCGCTAAAATTTACCATTTTGACTTTAAAATTTATAACAAGTTTCTCTGTTCACTTTGAAGCACTCTTTGCTTAGTTTAAAATCATTTTAAGCGTTAGTTGGGCTTATAATAGGATTCATTAAAAAGCACAAATATAAGTTTTTTTTAAATATTTTTATTTGTAAACGGAATGGGATATTCATAGAATACATACTTGTCCCACAGTAAGCTTTTTGAGGGAACTATACTAAGCTTTTAGGTGGAACTATCACTATTAATTGCCCACATGCTCCCAAATTTCGCAGACCGGTGTTATTCGTGTCAAATGAGCGAAATAGATTTTCTCAAGGGGAACATTAAATCAGGCATACCTAGCGCTGGCATGGCTGCAATGAACATTCGTGCATGCAAATTATATACATACATACATATGTAAATTAGGGTGGTACAAAATGCGTTTGAAAAAGTAAAGTCGGAATTTTTATGTTCTCACCCACCGTTGCCACTTTGGTACTATTGTACCAAATATGGGCCTTTTTTCTCCGTTTGGGCCTATGGGCCTTTTTTATTTGTTTTGGACCTGTTTCAAGCAACTACAGCTATCCGTTCGTTTGGCGTTGGCGAGAGCTATCCGTTTGTTTAAAATATGTAGCACTCGCTGCAGCTGCTCTGTTAACTGGAATTCTGACAATGCATTTCTAGTAAATTTTCGAGTATGCAGTTTTATAGCCCGTTTAATTGTAGTAAAACAATTTGCAAGTTTCAAGTCTCTAAAAATTACCATTGCTTTTTAGATATTTTTTAATGGAGGGTGTTGCGCGTCTAGAAATTCTGAAAAAAATTATTTTGAAATTTTGATAAGAATTTTTTAAATTTTTATGAACTTTATATAAAGTATGAAGCTTTGATATATATGGATTATATTATAGAATGAACTACGTATATTTTCATAATTAACACAGGTTTACAAAAAAAAAGTTTCTGCATATTGAACCAAACCTCTATATGTATTCCTATGGTATTCGACGCGCTTCAAAGTTGTCTAGAGGTCATAACAAGGTCAAATTCATAAGAATTGTATTGAATTTTCAGGTTTTCCAACGAACTTTTCTCTACTTGGCCTTCAAATGACCTCGAAAGTGACGCGATGGAGACAAACAGACCTCGGATTCGTATTCAGGGCGTCGAATACCATAGGGATATAGAGGTTTTGTTTGGTTCAATATGCAGAAATCTTTTTCTTTGTAAACCTGTGTAATTAATGAAAACAAATTGTCATGAGCATAATTGTGAATATTATATTAGAACAAGGTGTACACTAACATTTGACACTGCGTGTATATGCACAAATGCAAACAAATGTATAGAAAATTAATTTTTTTACCCGAATTTAAAATATTGCAATTTTTTAACGTTTAATATTAAAGAAAAAATATATATCTGTATTTTAGAAGGACAGAAAAAAATGGTTTTATTTTATTTTGGGCCTTTTTACTTGGATATTGTAGTATAACAAATTTTGATGAAGTGGCAACCCCCAGGGCTTGTTCTATATCGAAAAATATACCCCAATTTTTTATTTCAAAATCAAAAAATAATTATAGGTCACACAAAGCGCCCAAAGTTTTCCATATATTTTATATCAGGAGAAAAACAACTTTTCGTAAAAATGGTATAGAATTCTTAAATAACAATATTTTTCGATCAAAAAACTCTGTTTCTCTTCAGGAAATTCCCAATAATAATACCCAATTATTTATTTAATAATTATTTCATAGTAGCTATATTTAGTAGGTCCGCCAAAATCCTCACAAACGCCAGAAAATGCATTGGGGGCATAAATAAAAAATCTGTAATATTAAAAAATGGTTAAATAGGGGGTGAGAGCATTAATATTCCGACTTTACTTATTTTGGACCACCCTAATGTGCATACATTTATAAAAGCAAAATGTTCAAAAACAAAACAAACACTTCTCCCATTTTACTTTCCCACCAGGTGGCACGCTCGTTCCGACCGGATTTCGTGCTGATACGCCAACCGCCACGCGATGGTTCCAATGATTACCGCTCGACTTTAATTGGATTAAAGTATGGCGGAGTGCCCAGCATTAATTCTTTGCATTCAATTTATCAATTTCAAGTAAGTTATAAATTATTTACGATTAACAAAACAAAATATAAAAAAAAACAAATAGTTAATAATAAATTTCCGTGTGTTGATGCTGAAAATTTCATATTTTCCATGTTTTCAAATTTCTAATTATTCGATTTTCGTTTTGCATTGTAGGACAAACCTTGGGTATTTGCGCATTTGTTGCAGTTGCAGCGTCGCTTGGGACGTGACGCCTTTCCTTTGATTGAACAAACCTTTTTCCCCAATGCCAGGGATTTGGTAAGTGCATTTAAAATTTGATTATCAAATATTTGCAATATGTAATTAAAATGCCAAGTGTGTTGGAGTATTTGTACAATTACGAATGTGGCTTTATTACAATAAATACAAATAACAGTTAATCATATATTTATGTACATACATTAAAGCTCTAATTAGGCGAAAAAAAACTCTGAACAGTGAATGGAAATGAAGCTTGCATACGTAATGAGAGCTTTATGTGTAACTCGAACTCGTAAGGGAAATTAATTAAAAATTAATAACCGTAAAAAATGAAAATAATGAAAGGACTCTTAAAATAAAATTACAATGAAATGGTAAAAATGGTAATTCACCGCGTACATAGTAACAACAATACATACAAACTTGTTAACTTTATCTTTTTGTGTTAATATTAAATAAATAATTATGTATAGTATATGATAAACGACACCTACATACATAAGCTACGAATTACTAACAGCAATTTTCTTTAATTGAAAGTCAAACATAAAAATATGTACTATACAATTCTCTTTCATTCTATGCTTGTCACAAAAACAATGTGCCCTCTTATTTCGCGCTGCTACGATTTCTTAAGGTTTCCTTATCGCTTTTTCCTTTCCTTTGGTTGTCCTTTATGGATCGGCCATGCATTTTTTATATGCCGGCGTACTTCGCCAATGGCACTTAGAGATAATGCCTTCAGGTGTGCGGTAGTGTGATGGGATGCAAGCGCTAAAATCTGTTTCGCATTTGGCAAACGGTGACCATTTGCAGGCGGTGGCGGATTGGCGTTCTTCCAAGCAATAGTTGCCAAAACAGGGTTCAACCTGTGGAAAATCGAAGAAGAGGGAAGAAACGAAATTAATTAATTATACATTTATATTTTTGTTTGAAAAAATTATTTTTGGTAGATTAAAATGAGTTTCAGTTAGTCGTGTCGTTATGTGGGATTATTCCAAATTGTAAGACCTACAAATATTTTGCATTCTAAGGTCAATATTTTTTATGGTCACATTAATTTTCAAGATTTTTTGCTCTTGAGCAAAATGTAGTATTCGACTACATACATATTTACATTTAAAACAGAGGTCGAAACGTTAAGACATGGTTTAAAATTTCGAGCAAGCTGTCGAGCACATCGGCATGTTAAATGAGAAATAAAAGCTTTGGTTATATTATTAAAAATCAATGCGACCTCTCAGCCACTTGCAAATTGCACTTTATTACATTAAAATTTAATGATCGATAACACTAAATACCCAATATTTTTCTAGAACCTCAAAAATTTGTATTTTAATTTTATTGAAAATTACTTGTATAACATTTTAAATTTTTCTTCTGAAATTTTGTTTGTTTGGAGGAAACTACACTTGTTTTCGACTAGTCGAGTTTGTTCAAAATTGTTTGTTTTTTTGCACTTTGCACTAATAAATTTAACACAAACAAACAAAAATTCAAAAATCGGGCTCAATTGGTCTCTTGCAAATTTTCTTAGCTTTCATCAAAAAAACAAAAAAACATTATCAAATTGAGTAACAAATAAAGGCTCCAGTGAATTATGAACTCAAAATGCCAATTTTGAACTACTGTAAGTTGATAAGTAGTAGGCAATCTCATGAATCTTGGTATAAATGAATTTCGTATGTTCATCAGAACTTAAGCTAGGGAATACGTGTATTCAACCGTGTTGTAGAGTAGAAATGGAGTAAATAGTCAAACGTTTAAGTGTTTTTGCACAGATGCCTAGAACTCTTGAGTGTCAGGGCAATTTTGTCTGACTGTGCTTAGGTCCGGCCATGAAGATCATGGGCTGCCATATAATGAGCAAACACCCAGAGGATTAGTCAAAAATGTGCATTAAACTTTTCTCAGAGTAAGGCTACCGTTGAAGTGCTAAGGTCAGCTCCATGAAAACAATTTCTCCGTTTAGTTTGACTAGACATACCTACCAAATTTCAGCATAAAGCCTGCATTGATGTGGAAAACATAAAGGTTTCTTTGACAGCTTACTGCAAATTTTTGTCAAAGTTTCACTCCAGTAAAATAATTAAAGAGAGCCAATAAGAGTATATGCCTGCCGTTAGGAGGAGGGGTCAACCTAAGTCTGACCGGAGTCATGGAAAATGTATTGCTGGAGACATCACCGTCTTTGTTTAGCTAAGGCTGCGCAATTGCAGAGGTTCGACATTCTCGATTTCTTTATCGTCCCATTCAACTACATCCTTTGTCTAGCCACTCTACAAATTGGCCCTTCCGCCCATGGTTTATTTCCTAGTCCAATGTAGTAGGTACTATGTCACAAGACAGGTTAGTGGTACTCCCGCATAGTAGGATGTGTTTAAGACTGAAATAGATGTGCCTATCCTGACCAATTCGTCTATTCATATCACACTCGTTGTATATTTAGCTGCCGTATCCTTTAAATATTTCTGAATTCGACAGGAGTTTTAAATGTGGTTGTGCAATACTGAACAACTTTTATAGCCACCCGACTGTCTGATTAAATAGCAACCATCTGCATATCGTTAGTATAGTATGGAAAGGGCTTAAATCACATCGTCGCTAAAATACAAAACGCCGTAACTAACTAAAAATCCGTAATTCGGTAGCTTGTTAAGAAAATGGACCGAAAAACTGTCGGAAACAGGGATTTAACAGTCTGGTAGAGCGTTGTTGGAAGCACCTTCAATGTCCAGAAAAATAGCTAAGGCAAGTCCTTTAAAAGGCTTGTTACGTAAGAAGAAATTAATTTACTTTTAACTGCTGGCAGTGTTCAATTCAATAAACAAAATTGACCTCTGATGCACTTCTTTTTTTATGTAATTGGCCTCAGCTTGCCCTTAAGTGCATAAATTGATTTTTATAAAAAGGGGTTTTTTTTTCCATGGCAAAAGTAAGCTCAAAGGCTTGCAAGAAACTCACCGCACATTTACAACCCTTGCGATAGGCGCCAGCAAAGCCACGCCTCTCTACCACCGACATCTTCAGATATTCCTTAACATAACTGCAACTATTCAAATATGGACCACGACCAGCAATTACGTATAGCTTGCCAATATCCAAGTTAACGCCACACATAGCTTCAGAATTTGGTGTCACTATGCGACCGTGTTTTAGCAGCTTCTGTCCGGATTCATTCATCTAAAAAGAAGAAATATGTATTAGTAAGTGACTAAGATGGTTTGCAATCTATACATACATACTTGTATTGATCAATTACTTATCTATACAGTTGAATGGTGTTCAAGACTTACCTTATATGATTTCTTTACTTCCACTTTGTAGGCAATGTTGTTTTGAACCAGACGGTGGGATTTGCGCATAACACGTATAATGACAACTGTAAATGTAAAAATGAAAATGAAAAAATATATATTTATTTTTATGACATACATATGTATAAGCATGAACCTTAAAAAATGAAGGGCATTATTATATTTCGTAATTTATGAATTGCTTAATTTATCAAGTATACGCTCCGTACACCAGAACATGATTATGAATGTTTATATGTATGTGTGTACATACAATTGCATACATCTTAATGCATATTTGTGCAAATATACTCGTATGTACTTATGAATCATGATTCAATAATTAAAGGTGTGCTCACTAGTGACATTAGAGTTGTGTTACTCCCTTAAGTCCCTTATAAAAGCGTTGCACACACGCACACGAACCCACACAGTGCTGATTTTTTCAAGAAGCCGATTTTGTCAAGAGGGGAGCAAGAAAACTGCTTTCTGAGCAAACCTTTTATTATTAAATTATGCTTATGAATCCAGAAAATTCTGTTGTCTATGAAAATATTGAATTATAACAGATAATCGAATTGATACTCGTTAAGTTCTCAAGTGACTTGGATGTGGCAGTGCCTTACATTAATAACTTTCTTCACAAGATAGTAACTACAACGATAAGCATTAACTAGTCACAAGAGTATTGACATGTGAGAAAAAGCTCTAAGTACGAATAATATTTAAATGTAATAGGAATTAGTGCCAGTTTTGTAGCTGGTAGTATGTGTACATTAGCGTGGGTCGAAAATACACTTTTTTTTAGAATTTTCATTGCTAATAGCAAAACATATGGTTCGTTATGCTCTCTAAAAAAAATCTATGCGAAAGATAAGAAATGTTGGTCAATATCTTAGGCTCGCTTAGGTTCATTAAAGTTCAATGTGTTCAAGAAAAATTGTTCTTAGCTTACTTCGATCGCAAATTTAATGCTCTCAAAAAAAAAGCTTGTGATTCTAATTATGTTGGACTAATACTTTCAGAGATAATTGCAATTTTATAAAAAAATAGTAATTAATTTATTTATTACTTTTGAATTTTTATTTATGGGTGAAGAATGTTTAATAAATTCAGTTACTCACAAAAAATTAATTTTTTTAAGGAAACATACTAACGCTATGTTTTTTCATAAAATGTTTGATAAATAGACTAGAGGAAGAACATTTTTTTCTTCTCCTATTGAATTTATCTTGTTAAGTTTTGAATTTAAAATTTTTGCGAATTTCGTTATAAAGCCCCACGTTTTTAATTAATTAATACTAAAAACAAAAAATTTATATTAAAATCAGCTGTAAATTTCTGATTTTTCCAATATATTAAAAGTTAACATAAAAACTTTAAATTCGATTTTATTAAAATTTAATAAAGAGTCACAAAAGATGTATGTAGGTGTGTTTTCTTCATAAAAAGGGCTTTTTCTCCGAAATTTTATTTCTTATATAGTGAGTAATTTATAAGTTATTTTTCACCCATAAATGGATAATAATTTTTGTATTAGTCCTACCTAATTTGGTATCTTAACCTTTTTTCTATAGCATTAAATTTGCGTTTGAAGTAAGCTAAAAAAAAATTGTTGAGCACATTCAACTTAAATGGACTTGTGCGAGCCTAGGATTTTGACCAAAAATTTTCATCCTTCACACAGATTTATTTTAGAGCATAATGAACCATATTTTTGTTATTAGCAATGGAAATTCTTAAAAAGCGGATTTTAGGCCCAGGATAGTAGTCATGCATATATACATACATACTACTAAGTAGATATCCGCCGTAATTTTAGCCAATTTCCTTAGAGAATGATACTTATTTTGCACTAGTCCTGTCAAGCCATTAAGGGTGTTCTATTTAGGCAGTAACTGAAAAAGTCGCATGTTTTGGTTCATTCATGTGGATGATGAGAAATTATGTCCACTTTTAAAATAATTTCGGACTAGTTTTATCTCGAAAACGGCACGGTTCTCATCTTCTAGATTTTTTAAAGACAAAAATTGCAAAAACCAAAATAAAAATAAAAAACTTAATGG